GTAAATTTTCACTCGACCCGAGTTGCTCGGAACCAGCGTACCACAATTCACTCCGACACTTCGAGAGAATAATTAAGATTATTTTCACTTTATAGTTCGAGTCACAGATTTCACTCGAATCGAGTGAAAATAAGTGTAAAGTCACTCTGTGAAGAGTTGATAGTGCATTCACTCAAGCCAAGAGTCAAATTTTCACTCGAAAATATTTAGAGAGTGGCTGAAAGGATGCAGGAAGAAGACGAATATAACGGATTTCCGTTTTCAAAGGAAAATGAGCATTCTCAGTTACATATATATGCATATATACAGTTTTACATATAACGTGTATACATATAAACTGCATAAGGCGCATATAAACGCCTTCTGCTTTTATCTCTTGCTATGTTCTCTACAAAGGGCTGAGCGCTAAGTGAAGAACATTATCACTTGAATGCCGTGAGAGCTTGCGGTTGCGCGTTATAATAGTGCCAATGAAACTTATATTATTTATTAAAAATTAAAATTAAATTTTGAAACTTTTATATTATATTATATTTAGAACGAGTATATCTTTAATCATTTTGAAATCCTTTTTATAAGCTATAGACAGTTAAAGATTTTTTTTTAAAGAACATAAAAAAATTATAACCCTTAAACATAGATATACTTGGAAACAACACGTACATCTTTATAGATTTAAAAATCGTGTTAATTTTTATCTGATTTTTTTTGTTCGACCACATGATAACTGTGAATCATGTGGTTTCCACCAGCTGTTATACGTCTTTAGAGGAACCGAAGGATGTTGGGTTGGTGTCGGTACCCAACGAGCTCTTGGTAATGCAGAAAGCGTGTCACTGCAACAAATCCGTACTCACGGCATTACGTGTTCCGAGTAAGTGCAGCGGAGTGGTGCTTTCAAAGTGCTCGGGACTCCTTTAAGTTACCTGAACGATAAAGTTTTTTAGAAGTCACCATCAGCGTCTTCGTCCTCGCCATCGCGCCGGAAAGTATTCCCGAATTTCGAAAATTTGGATATCAAAGAAGCTACGGATAGTCTTTATGCTTTTAGTATAAAATCGCGTTTGCATGATCAAACACTTTTGCAATCTGTAATATTTATGTAGTATAGATGTCATTCTTAATTAGCAAGTTAAGTTTGAGAAAATTTTAGCATGATAAAATGCAGAAAATCTCGGATTTAAAGGGAATGTTATCATTCTTTCGGTAACGTTAAAGTTTTGTCACATTTTAATAATTTTGATACTAGGAATAATATCAATATTAATTTTTAAAGCAAAGGTAAAATAAACTTTATATGAATATTATATAAACTTTATATATAATAATTGTATAATATTAATACGATATGATTCGCGTTATATATATATATATATTTCCGTTTATCAATATAACGTATCGCTGATTACCGTAGCAGAGAAGGTTTTCGCTTACTCATCGTTTGTACATATGTGTGTATTTAGATGGGATCGAACGTCATTTTGGTGGGATCAATCGTCATCCCGAAGGGATTAAGCGCTAACTCTGTAAACCCGCGCTTCCACGTTGGATTAAATTTGCACGTTAGGCAAATATGAGGCAATTATTATGAAATAAATTGCTATCGTCTCGAACATGAAAGAGAGAACACAATAAATGCGCTTCAAATAAAGTTTTAATAAATGAGCATTAGACATGATATGATTATACAAAAATTATTTTTGTCCCATATCTCACGTATAAATTAAAAAATTTTTATTACGAAAGAATGAATAATTTACTTTTCTAGTCTATTATTGTACAATTACACTTTTTCTAAAGAATAGAATCAATATCAATATTAATAAGTGAAATAAGTGAAAAGACCGCTACGATATACAATCAGTTTAGAGAAAACGCCAATTTTGATCAGGACTTCGTAGTCTAATAATATTATTCTCATACATTTTTTCGCCTTAGTACGAGAATAACCTAATAATATTATTCTCATACATTTTTTTGCCTTGTACGAGAATAATATTATTAGGCTACCAAAATCCAATCCTAATCGAAATTTGATTCGATCGATGAATATCGATTTGAGATTTTAAACGTCTCTTTGATTTTATTTATAATATAATTAGCATGCAGACTGAAATTTTATTAAACTTTACTCTATAAATTAAATGATAAATATCTATTACTTTATTTTGCTAAAATGTAATTTAGGAATTTTTTTTATTTTGTTATTTTAAAGAGATCGAATTATATTAAATAAAAAAGAAAAAATTATCAAGATAAAAATAAGTTTAATATTTTGTATTCATCATTTCATGCTTGCCATTATAAGTAGACATTTTGAAGTATTTTACTTCCCTTGGGAAAAGAAAATGCGAATAATTTTCATAAAAAACCAGTAGCGAAATCGAGCCGACTTTGCGAAGTCCCCGAAATTGTGAGATTCTATCTTGACAAGAATGTATCTCGCGTCGGCAATAGAGAAACGGTTTAAGTCGCACCTTCGTTTTCTCTACGAAGATCTTGTACCTTCCTCGGAACGAACACAAGAAGAAGAAGAAGAAGAAGAAGCCAGAGGATACTCTTAACGGAACAGTAAATTGCTTGGAAACTGCTGTACTATTTACGGACAGCGTTCCTTCTTATATGGGACTACGTGGTCGATTTCGAAGCTCGGCGTTACATGAGATCGAAATCATAAATTCCAAAAAATTGAAAGACTTATACATCATGATCCCGAAACACGAGAAATATTTTCACTGCGGTGGATGGTACATGCCGAATAGCTTTTCTCTGAAAATATTTCGAATAACCAGATGTCCCTATCCAAATTTGGAATTTCTCGGTGAAATTAGAAAATTATTTTATCTTACGTGGTTTTACTTAAATCAGCTCGGCCGGAACATGATCCGATTAGCAACTTATACGTTTGGCATGCACCTCTCGAAACCGTAAAGCCCAGATTTAGTAGACAATTCAAGTCTTTTGGATTTACACGTAACGTAGTACGATTAACGATTAATATGGTTAACGGTTAGTGAAATTACTGGAAAATTAATCTCTTTTTCTCTTTGTATAAAACTTGCACGTCAGCAAGTTATATGGTTTACATTACATAGCGCTTAATAATAGATATTTTTCTCACTATTAATATGACATTAATTAATTCCCTCGGTCTTTCATCCAATTTGCAGTGATCAATGTCGCATAATATCGGACGCTGACGTTATCCGCATATTGTTCGGTGAAAATTAACCAGTCCGTTCATGATATCAGATCTGGTTAATCCCCCCCCTCCTCTCCCCACCTCTCTTGATATAGCTTGAAATATATATTGTGTATATTGTAATCATTTATAGTAAATTTAATATTCATGATATTTTCATGACTTTGATATTTTATGCGTAATGTTGTCAGAATATAATTAATGCATCTGTTTCAACAAAAATATCAATTAAACGAACAAAAAGCATACGTATCCATAAAGAATATTTGCATGAAAATCGTTTTTAGATAACACGTTATTCTCTATTTAATCAAGCTTGCGATATATATAATCACGTGTATTCTTTACATTCTGCCGGAATTTATTAACAAATTTCCATTTTTACGAAGAAATACACTAGCGGGTGGTGCATTATTATTGTTCCTCTTTTCAATTTTAATGCAACATCAACGAGAACGTCTTCTTATCAGAGACGTCGAACATGCTTGTGTCACAACGTTTATTTAGCGAAGTGCACCTTCTCTTTAGTGCTCACCTCTCTCTAGAGCCCTCTTTATCCTTGCTTGCTGGTAACGCCATCGTATCTGATATAGTCGTATCCACTTTTACCTTATAAAAGTATATACTAGTGGGTCGATATCGTCCAGCGTCGATGGAACATCGTTGTTCTACGATAGCCATTTCAGTTCTGTCGGGATATTCCGAAGCAGCTGCGTTGCAGTCGTGCTCTCGTCAGATAATACCATTAAAAAACGCGAGGGTATATAGTACTTTGGAAAAAAAGAGAAGAGTGTGAAGTCTATAGTCAGCTTCATTGTAATACCACGTCAATATTATCGTGCTGTATTAATTTACAAGCACGTTTACACAAGACCTAATTTCAAGTACCTAAACTTTAATAGAATATTAATCTGAAGCTCTCTTTCATTTAAATACTTATTGACACGTGCATGTATGAAAACGTTTTCACACACAGGTACATTATTTAATTAAATTACATATTTGGAAATATATATTTGAGAAATAATACGGATGAGAGAAGATAATAATAACGTAAATTAATATTCGGCATATAAAAATGTCCGTAATTGAGTTAGTGTTACTATATTCCTGTTAATTTAAGTTAATCTTCTTCTAGTTAATCTGTTTTATGTAATGCGCATCTTTGTAAATATTTTATGTTCCTTTGTATTTAAAACGATTCCATTTTTTTCTGGTTTTCTTTCGTTAATATCCGTAATTTTATCTGACTTCCTCAGGTGCTTTCGTTTAAGTAACGGCTAATAATTCCGCGTAAGTTCTTGCAGAGAGCGTGTCCAATAGAAAGAAAAAATAAAATTTTATTTTTCTCACTTGTAAGGCTTGATAGTTATTTCCCCCTTCAGAACAAGTTGTATTTATGGAGAGATCTCTATGCGAATACAATATGAAACATTTTTACTGAAGGTATATTGAAACAAATATAAATAGATATATAGAGAGGACACATATAATTCTTATGGGAATTTATGTATATTGAAATTTCTGTATTTGCAGAATATAGAATGTTTGCGAAATAAATGTCCCATAAGAAGTCAAGTTAATTTACGTCAAGAATTTATATTAAACAACGTTGAACAATTTCGTTGCGTGTGTTGAGTTTAACATCGCGATATTTTATAATTTTATTCCGACAAACTTTATTTCCATGAGCAATTTCCGGTATTTTGGTGCGCTTGCGGAAACGCGATATTTCACAATCTAATTCTGACGAGCTTTATTTCCGCGAATAATTTCCGACAACTCGGTATGCTTGCAGGAAATGTGAGAGTAGTCAAGTTTTCGTCAAGGACCACCACACACACTGTATAGATACTTGCCGTCCTGTTACTATGTGCGGTGAAGTACGCGTCCCGGAGGACCATCTTGACGTAAGTAATTACCCGATAAGTTGTCTAAACCGAGTTAAACCGTGCAATAAATATTGGAGCCAGTCAAAGAAGTAGATCGAACATTGGCATTGGTATTTTGGACATTGGGGAATCACAAGGAAATGACAATTTATTTGTCTGTTTACGATGTAAAGTGGTTAAAAATCATAATTATATTTTAGAAAAAAATTTATTTTGTAAAATTAATTTTAAATATAAACATTTATTTTAATATTTAGTTTAATATTCCACAATTGAAAATTGTAAGAGTAAATGGCACCCATTTAAATTTTTCTCAAAAGAATAATCGATTAAAAATCTGCTAACGAATTCATAAGCTATAGAAAAATAGAATGTGTTTTTGGGGATATTTTGTATTTCATTCTCTCTGTCTGTACATATACGTACTATATAACCATTGAATGATTTATTTTTTATTTACGTTAAGGGAACAATTATTGTGATTCCATTTGACAATTATTTAGTATAAGAAACGGGAATTTATATTTAACATTAGTGATTACATTATATGTGTATATATGTGTGTGAATTTTAATACGTCAGTATTTATTTTATTTATTTCATTTGTATTAAATGATCGATGAGCAGTAATAATTTAATTTAGGACTAAATTTAATAACACAAAATGTCAAAATTAGACTAATATGTATAAACGAAATAAATCCTGAGAGATATATTAAGAATTGAACATTTTTCATTATTTACTCGTTGGATATACATATAAATACAGCATCGGATGCTTTTTCAATCCGGAATTTTTAATATTGAATAATATTTTAATATTTCCTATCAAAATTTGTTATAATTATTTTAGAAAATTCCGATTTACTAAATTTATAATTATCAGAATTTTAACAATACTACAATAATGTACAATATATATGTAGTTTATATTAGCAATTATAATTACTATAATGAATCTACTCGTGTATAATTAATAGTAAATATTAACTGCGAATTTAGTGCTTATAATATATGAAATAAAATTTGGTTGAGAGAAATTTTGTCTTTTTATGAGAAATGACAGACTATAATTGCGACAGTTGACAGAATATCTATATTTTTACGTAAATCTCGTATATTCGAAATAAGAGATACGATATTTCATTGACACCTCATCTTGATCGATTACCGAGACTCGTACTGAGGGGATGTGCTTTAACGACAGCAGCCTGGAAACGAGAGGCGCTAATTGATGAGTGGCCCTGAGAGGCGAATTGGTGTCGGATAACTTATTAGGGCGAGGGCGTCATCACCCTTGTTGTTGACGGTATTCGCTGACGGCGTAAAATTATTTACCTCCTCGCCGAAGGTGTCTTGACGGTAATGCGATTCTGCTCCGGTTCGTCAGCGTTAATGTTTCCGGATACTTCGTCGCTTATAAAATGCAATCTTCCTTACAGTATTTTATCTGACACTCAGATAAGTAAGGTTGTTTATAACTTCATTTTAAAATTCTTGACGTCAACGATCAAAAGATGCGAAATTTTTTTTCATATCTAACTGATAATTATTCCGAAATCAAAAATTGCTTGATTTGCTTGATTGTTTGATCTCTTTAAACTTTCAAGTAACAACAGTGCTTTCACTAATTACTGTACGTCTTTTTATGTCTTTTTTAAATGTGCTTTTCTATATAGGTTTGCAGAACGTGCAACGGGACGGGACACAATTGCGGAATAGCTGAAGGGAGTATAGCTGGTCCGGGAATCGACGGTGCCGATTTTGTCTTTTATGTATCCGCTATGCAGACTGAGAGATGTCATAAGGGTTTAACAGTAGCTTATGCTGCTCATTGTCAACAGGAAGCAGCCTTAGATCGGTACGTCCGAATTATTAGTTTAATTAGTCAATAGAAACAATAATTAACAATTTTTTATTAGATATACCTATAGTAGATTTATAATTAGTACTATAATATTTTTTATATATATAAAAGTTTTACTTGTTATTGTCACTAATATTGTCATTAATAACGAAGTAAAAAATACAAACAGACATTTTAACATAATTACGAGTTCATATTGTATAAAGTGAAAAATATATTTATCACCATTATTTATCACCATTATTAGTAGTAGCGTGAATTTAGTTTTCGCGATATTTTGAGATACGATATTGGAGAACGTCATTAATAATACATTAATACATTGAATAAGTGCGCGTCATGATTGAAACATGTGCAATTTTAGCTATTTGTATGAACAGAGAGGGTAGAGACGAAGGCAAACACCATCTGGCATGAATATATTTCATGAGAACGTCGGATTAAATATTTGACAAGATTTATAAGAGAGGTTGTTTGTACGAGGCGAGCGATTTAACAATGGCGAACTTTCATATTAATGATTTTAATTAAAACGATATATTTTATTTTGTTTATACAGCGAATTATTTTTAAATATCAAACGGCTCGTTTATTTAAATTTATCTTTGTTTTTAAATTGTTTTAATCCTGTTTCTATACATATATAGTTGCTACAGTCGTATCGATAGGATTATACGTAAAGAACAGATCCATTTATTGATTAGATCTCAATTATTAAATTTATTGATTATTTAGAAGAAACCGTTTGCAATTGAGGAAATATTTTACAGAACCGAATTTATAATTGAAAATTGCAGAAGCAAAACTCGACGTTCTCTGATTTGACGTCTAACTTTATGACTCCGCTGAAACGTGAACGCATATTGAGTAGATTAAATTTGTCTGTCAAGTACATACGTCGCGCACGTCGTACCACGGTCGATGTAAATGGCGTTGCGCGAATTTTATTATTCGCACAACGTCCGATCGTGATAGATCGACGATATTCGTGCGTTCCGTTGCCGCTTGCTTATGGAAAAATCCTTGGAATATTCGAGTGTAAAAAAAACATTTTACGTAACATATAGCATTACACAGCTTTAATATCGATCTAGATATCCCTCGCGGAAAATATTCTCTTGTGTCTATATGCAAATTAACTTTCCAGTGTCTATCTTGCAAACATCTTAAAGAATTCCTGTATATTTTCCAAGGAAATAATAATGGAACTAATACAATTTCTAGATTATACGTTATAATTATAATAAAGAATATTTCGCGGTGGCTGAAGCGAACTAAATTGTTTCCAGGCCGATAGCTGGTCATGCCAATCTATGCCCGGGAAGCATCAGCACGAAACCGCAGGAGTTGGAAACGTTGCTCAGCACCGTTAAACACGAGATCCTGCACGCTTTAGGATTTTCTGTGAGCTTATACGCTTTCTACAGAGACGAGAATGGTGAGCCCAGGACGCCTAGAAGAAGCGATACTGGAAAACCACCCCTTAATGAAAAGTACGTTCTGCGATGCCTTTTGTACGTCTTACGTAAAAATTCCTTTATTACCGCGCATAAAAGACGGGCAAATTATATTAGTTCGTTCACTGAGTATGAAATTAAATTAGCCCGTATGATGAATAATTTCTCGAATATGAGGATATACTTCAAATTTGATCGCAAATACAATGAAGGTAATTAACGGTAATTAAGGGATGTACTCTCTGATACTCTCATTAGAGTGACATCAAAAAATGTCATATCATCTATCGATTATCTTTATATAAATTTCTACCAACGGACAGAGTTTAGCATAAAGATAATATTAACGATTCCTCGAATAGAAATTAGTATTACACAAATATTGAGTACCTAAATAAAAAATAATACTGTTGTCGAATAAACTCATATTTCTAATTTCATACTTAATGTAATTATTTTCACGCGATAATTTTTATTTATCGATACAATTTTCAATTAGCTGAATATAACGAATTTGTTTCTTTGATAAGTAAATATTCATATTATATATTATATATTACGAATATTCACATATATTATATTATTCATATTATATTCTACTTCTCGAAGATAAGTGAATATTTTTTCATAAGTAAATTTTTTATAAATGAATTTTTCACACTCAATTTTGCAGAAATTGTTACTCCGCTTCAATATAATGAGAAAGAAAGAGAGAAACAGATACTTTGCTTTGTTCGTCATTTTATCACTCGACTACGATGCGTTAGCCATTCTTCTCTCTCTCTCTCTCCCACCTTTACGATTGTCTGACGGTGTATCTGCCTTTAAAATTGGAAAATTCCTGGTATCCCGTTCTATACGAGTCGACGGACCGTAACGAACTGGCTTCTATCGTTGGCAGATGCGAGCCTCTTCCCCATACGATCTTTCTTCACGCGTACCCTTCTGTCTGTTTCCCCCGTCTTCCATCCGTTACTTTTCGCTACTCTTGTACTTACTTCTCATGTTCTCTCTCAAACTCTCTTTCCCAATTCGCTGTTTCGCTCGGGTCTATGTTCAAGTGGTGAAAATCGACGTCTTTCCACTTTGAATCACGAAATTCCGGCAACAGATCCACGGCATTCTGGACTATAATAGATTATTTTAGGAATGACTTTGGCGTTCTTCACAAGTCTCTTCCTAACGCTTGCTCTGGCGTATAATTTTCCAGTATGTTCTCGGCGCGTTTCTCCAAGTGTGTCTGGTTTCTTCAGCTGATCTCATGAATTATCGCGCTGATTTGCGTTTCGAATGTTGGTGCAGATAGAATTCCTTCTCTTTCTCTTCCTTTAATAGAACATCACTCATCGCATTGCATAGCATTAGAGAATTATGAAGCCACTTGGTAATGTATGCGGAACTTCTTAAACTCTCAGGAACTTTCTGCCAGAGAATTCTATGATTCTTTCTCGACAACGTCCCAATACTTAAATCGAGAGACTGAGATTTTTGTCGGAAATAACTGCTCGTTCCCTGTTCGTCACAGTCCTTTTTATCCTCCGTCGTCTTTCGCTACCTCTCATTTCTACCCGTTCTTTCCATCTATTTTTGCTCCGTGTCACAGACTGCGCATTCTCTGTTACAAATTCCAGCGTTTCTCTTTATCTCCTGTTATCTATCTACTCGTGAGTTCGCGCGTTCTCAGCCTACCGCACTTGAATATCTCCACGAAGATCCTCTTACGTTTAAGGTTTACATTAATCTGCAGCAACGCACGTAGAGAGGCAGAAGGATAGAAAGGTGAGAGAGGATCTTGAATGTAATCTTGGATTTCAACATGATACAGACCTTATAACACGATACGGCGATATGAGATGTAATTGTTTGTGAAAAAAATAGAGGTACATTTGTCTTTATCGTTTCGCAATTGTTAACGACTGCTTTCTTTGACATAATTGGGAATATATATCCCAATACTATTCTTGTCTGACACAATTTGTTTTTATTGAAGGATACCTATTGAGAGAGAGCTTTTAGTGCTAATTAATTACACATTTACATTGGTTCTTATCCGTTCTAATTAGCTATTTTATATAAATGCAAATTATTTGCATTATTCATGCATTTGAATTTGATCTAAATGGCGATATCACTACTTTAAATTGTAATAACAAATTAACGTATAAAAAAGGCAACATAAAATATACTAATCGATACTTTTACAGCTCGTGCGATTTGTCGCGAATTAATTTCAAAAAGCTTTTCGATGAGATTTAAAAGCGTGCGCATAAACAAGAAATAAAGTTTACAACGCGTTTAATTTTCTTCGATATTTCATAATGTGAGATTGACACTTTTTTCTCACGGTCGACACGTTACATTCGATTTCTATACTCGCGTTCTATCACAGTATACACCGTTTCTGTGCCTCTAGCAATTGTGTACATGAGATACGCTGAGCGATTTTTTATTGACGCTTAAGCGTAATAATATTTTTTATCTCGTGCTCGCGAGTCCCTGGCAAAATGGCCATTCGCAAATTCATCCGTCATATTGAAATCTGATAGAGGAGGGACCGCTCGCGTTGTCGAAAACAGCGTTTCACTGACGTATCACATCAATCACTTTACACAGGAGACAGACGAAGAGAAAGAAAACGCGCCTATGTGAGAGAAAGAGAGAGAGAAGCAGAGAAATTGAAAATAATCGTATTTATCTATCGTGCGCAAAATCACTAAGATATTCAACTTGTCACATAATAAATATTAAGTAACCAAAAAAGTTTGTGCGGTTTTCGGTAAAGCTCACTGCAATGAATTATTTTATCTTATATTTGCAGAGCGCAAGTTTTTATGTACGTTATAAGGCATATATGTCAATCAACCGGCAAACTTTGACTTACATTAGTGCGTATTCTTTTTTTTTGTGAGTTTAAACCTTTTTAAAATATCAGTCAAGCCTGGTGTAATTCGGGCTTGTTTGCTTTATGAATTTAAACTCGGTTTGAAGACTGCAGAAGCGGCTCGTAAGATATGTGCATTTGGAAAAGATGTGGTAAACGAACGTAATGCACAGAAATAGTTTAAAAAACTTGCTTCTAGAGATGAATCACTTGAAAATGCACCACTTTGTCGGTGCAGGAAGACCCTCCATTATATGGATAATGAAGATGTATCGCGGTTAAAAACAATGCTAGAATAACGTTTATAAGTACGTTCTTAAATTTTTTTACGTGAGTGATGAAACAATTCGTTTACATTTGCATCAACTTGAAATTTTTAATTAAAAAATCACACGAACTTTTTTGATTACCTAATACGTTGCGGACGATGATTGTCGTTAATATAAATCGAGGCGCGAGGGTTTAAAAAAATAATATATGTTATGTTATTGTATAGAAAAAAAAGCATAACAAAAAAAATAATCGAAAAAATATCTGAATAATTTTGATAAAAATTTCGAGACTATGGTTCAAAGTACATGCAGATTTTAAATTATTCTATGACTTTCTATTTTGTAGCGAGTTAAAAACTCCAATGGCAAAGAGTTTCTGCTATTTTGTTTATTGTTTATTGTTTGCCTTTTCGCGGATGGTAATTTATTCAAAGTCTGATTCAATTGCGAGCGAGATACATTCGGGAATGCGCTCGTATGATATATGATGTCATAGCAAAGATATTATTATACTGGACGACAGCAGTAGCTCTCGACTACTAAATCAGAATATGCTAATAACGTTCGATACTCGTTTCGGGCAGGTTACAAACGCACCAGTGGAGCGAGAACACGATCAAAACCGTGGTCAGGCCTCGCTGGCAAGTGCACGGCGGTTACGTGGAGAGGACCATGCAAATGATAGTCACGCCTCGGGTCCGCGCCGAGGTTCAAGCGCACTTCAATTGCCCGGAACTCGAGGGCGCGGAATTGGAAGACCAGGGCGAGGATGGCACAGCCCTAACACATTGGGAGAAACGCGTGTTTGAGGTGCGTAATGTTGAATATATATGTCGTCGATTTTACTCTTCGTCGCACATGCGGTGCGCGCAATGATATTCGACCAAGAATTTCAAGCTTCCGTGGTAGAAAATAAAATAGATTTTTGCATTATTTTAATTTTTGAATCGATTATTAATAATAATAATATAAATTAAATTGATTAATAATAATAATAATAATAATAATATAATTATATTATTATTCTAATCTAATACTAAAGTATGATAGATTTACTGTGTAAAATCACATGTTCTCACGTTCGAATTTTTTAATAAAAAATTTGTAAGTAACGTTTGCTAACATAGATTGGTTTTTCCGTTTATTCAGAACGAAGCCATGACAGGGACGCACACGCAAAATCCAGTTTACTCGAGGATAACGCTTGCTCTTATGGAAGATACTGGTTGGTACAGCGCCAACTATTCGATGGCGCAAGAGCTAGGTTGGGGGAAAAATCTAGGATGCAATTTCGCCATGAAATCCTGCAAGGAATGGATATCCACTAAATCATCCCCGTTGTCGTGAGTACACCGAGATATTTAGCAAAAATAAACCGCGCGATGATTATATGAGAATATTTAAATATTTCAGAGGAAAGTCGATACATCCTTTTTGCAACAAAGTGAAACAAGACCCATTGCAGACCGAATGTACGGACGATCGGAGTTCAGTGGCCTTGTGTAACCTGGTGAAACATACGCAACCGCTACCCAAGAAATACCAAGTAAGAAATATCTAGTAATCTATTGAAATTTTAAAGCAGATACGCGTACAAACAGAATGTCTACATAGACGATGTTACATCGACGACATGAGAATATTCGTGGTATGTGAAGAATCTCAATTGACGATTTCTTCCATTGCAGAACTTTGATTCAATTCCCCACGTACTATCGGGAGAAGAACAATACTACGGCGGGTCGGTATCTCTGGCAGATTTCTGTCCTTACATACAAGAATTCACGTGGAGAGCGCGGAATATAGTAGTCAGGGGTTCTCACTGTCTTTACGAGGAGAATAATCCGCGTAAGTAACACACATTACATGTGCGTTTCAAAGAAATAACGGAATAATTCACTTGAAATACATCCTTCTTTTAGACCCAGACAAGAATTTCGCATTAGAGAAGTACGGTCCTCATTCAAGGTGTTTTGACCATACTAATGATATGTGGGAAGAGAGAACTTGCAAACAAGCGCGTCAGTGGCAACACTGGGGTTCCGGTTGTTACTTGTATAAGTGCGAAGCCGGGAGACTACACATTATGGTCAGTTTCTTGCGACGCAATATTACGGCCGTTTTATAAGAATTCTCATTTTATAAAAATTCTCATTTTATAAGAATTCTCGTTTTATAAGAATGCATCTAAATATGAATAAATTAAGAGACAATTTTATAATTTTCCTCAGGTTGGCAATTATACGTATACGTGTTATCACGCTGGACAGGAAATTATTATAAGAATTATGCAGAATGGTTGGTTGCATAAAGGTGCTCTAATTTGTCCCCCCTGCCGAGATATCTGTCAGGTATGAATAGATTATCTATTATAATATGTGAACTGCATAATAGATATAGCTAGATGTAATTTGATAACCGAATTTGCTTAATATTAGGCGGAATTTAAAGCACGGGACGAGTGGTGTAAGCCAGGGGACGAACATCCACCTTCCATATATTATCACAAAGACTATCTTCACTGTGCGTCCGCAGATAGTTTTAGCCTAAGTATATCAACGCTTATTATTGCAATCTTATCCTTCGTCGTTAGATGATAAATTATATTTTTTAGTTAATGTTTTAGCATTGTCTAAATCTAGATACATAGATATATCATTTATTGACCTATGTATCATGTTTTGACAGCGATAGTTTCAATGTGGTTTGGAAATATTCTATTTCTCGCGATAGCGTCTATTCTAGTTTTTGTTATTGAAAAACATAATGAATAATGGCCGAGGTGACAATCGTAAATAAACTCGTTATCTATCTGATAAAATGTTGGCCAAATAATTTAAAAGAATAAAGGAATTATCGATTAACTTTAAATATGTTAAATACGCGCGATGAATATATGTATTATATTTGGATTTAATGATCCGTGGTGATAACGTGACGAGGCATTTTTAGGTGCCAATTTCATATTATACATGCTTCATTAATCTAGGTTACGTATTTAGCCAATTTGCTAATTTTATTATTGCATATATGGTTTATTATGATTAATTCTGACACATGATATATTTTGGTCATTAGTTCATGTGCGTTGTCTGAGCGAACATGAATAATCTCGGTCATCGCTCAATTCAAGACGATGAATAATTATGCTGTAGCTGATAGATAATTACTATTATCTGACTAATGTGTATACACACGGACTGCAACCATCATTGCCGATATAAAAATAATATGGAATTTTATGACGTAAATTAGTTATAGAAATTAATAAGTCTAACAAAGAAACGCTATACATTGCTGATAAATGACAATGTAAATGACATATATATTTTGCATGATATGACAACGCAAGTAAAGTGCGTAGAAAAAGTAGAAGTATGTATGTATCAGATATGTATGCTCTATTTACAATTTATACTATTTGCGAAACATTACAGTTAGTTTTGCCAGTAAAGTATAGCGAACTTTTTTAGGCATTACGAGTGATCAAGCTCTGATATTAATATTCATGAAAAAAAGTCAACTTTACATTCCATTGAGACTGCAATCTTTTTTAACATTCTAGTTTATTGACTGCATTGTTAACAATTCGTAATATTCCTGATGACATGTATGAAAGTTCGTGTGAACATATGCACGTAAGTCATATCGAACAATATACGAATAAATGTGAAAACTAAAGTGATTTAAGAATATGACAAACCAATTTATCAAGGATTGTCGATTGTTGTGAATCTTGGGTGGATATCATGAATGTATGTGGTATAAAAAATAAGTCGTTGTACAGTATAGTTCCAAAAATGCGAAGTCTAATAATGCAATAGATTTACGACATTTCGTATAACATAATATCCAGATCTTACAATTATTTGCATATAGCATATTATTTGATAACTGTATTAATGTGGATGATATGTCGCGGAACAATTTTTTAGTTTCTTATCACTTAAATTATATGTTCAATGCGTGCAATTTTTGGAAAATTATTTTTACTATAGTTTTAATTTGTATGCAGTTTGTAATAGATTTATAATATATTTTATCTATTTTATGTATGATAAAAATTTGCTATTTACGATTTCTTCAATGCTTTACTATGGATATAGATATATCAGCGCAATAATTTGCGCAGATTAGTCATAAATAAAATATCTAATAATTTTATCTTACTGGAAAAAAATGGCGAACGATAAAGTCAGCACATAGATTGTATATGTATTAAAGTCTCATCTATAGTAATCATTTTTAGAGTATAGCTAATCCGTTCTGTGTAACTAATACAATAATAAAATATTAAGTACTTTTTGCAATTTGTGAAAATAGCAAATTTGATATCACAACATTTTTTTAGGCATTCCAAAAAGGTTATTTTTCATGAAAAATGCGTTCCATGAAAAATAAAATGTTAATTTCATTCTTATAACACATATTCCAATTTGGAACATTCGCAAGGTTGTAATGTGTAATGTATGAGAGTATTTAGTTTAATTTTGTACAGAGATGATTAATATTTAACATATATACTTTGTAAAGAACTTGAAGATATCTCAGTATTGATCAAATATACTGAGATGTATATTCGAGAACATTTCTCGCAAATTCCTGCTAATGTCGTTGCTCGACATAAGAACGGATTAAATGCGTTAACAAACGCTATCCGGTAAATGTTAATATTGAGCGCGTTAGCTATCAATAAGTGAACATAGAAGAAAACGAGTATGTTTTAGTAATTCTGTAAGGCCCAACTATGAAAATATCGCAGGTATATGTATAAGCATGTATGAGTGTGCGCGGTTATCTGAATACATGTATCATAGATCGTTCTCAAAATTCTGAGCTGTTAGTCTGTTAGATTTTTATGAAAACGATTACAAACTCATATGAAGTTGTTGGAATGTATGTTTTATATTAATTTGTTATTTAAGTTTTAATAACATACTTCGTCTCTCATAATGGCTATTACAAAAAATATGTTACGATTTGAAAAATTACAACTTTAATAAAAGTTTATATTATAATTGTGTGCAGCTCAGAAAAATTGTACACATAATTTCAAACTTTTTTCTTTTTAATTAAGTACACGCGCGAACTGGAGGTTACAATATTTACGAATATATATATTTAGCTACTATCTTAGAATATTTTATAATATATATTATGTCTCTATTAAATTGTTTTTAAAAAATTTAACTGCGCAAAAATTAATAGAAAAAAAGTGTGAATCAGAAACAGTTTTTGAATAATTGTATTAGTTTTAATTTCATTTAATATTGCAAATATCTTATGATTTAATTTACTACAAGTTTAGTAAGTAATATACTATTACTTATGAAACATAAAGCAGAGTTAATAATTTAATTTTACTTTTATGAGTAATTGTGCCATTATTAAAAATACTCTGTATATTTTATGACAAATTACAGGAATACAATTCCTTTTTTATTATTGAAAACAATTCAGTTAAGAAATGGTTAATATCGACGAAGATTATTTAATAAAAAATTTAATAGTTAAATAAGACTTAAATATATGCTGTAAGCTCTAAGAATATGTTTAAGAAGTGATGAGATTATTTTTACAGTATCGAAGAATTAATGTAACGATACAGATATGTATACCAGTTTAAATATATACTTCAGTTTAATAACGAGAAATAATAACTGATATAGCTAATAAGTTTTAATATTAATACGATTGTATGTGCAGATTTTATCGCAAAATTGATGCATTTAATCCTCCTCTTGTGGGTTTTATTAACGTAAGTGCTGGTAAATATTTTCCTGTAATCTTACAAATATATGATCTTTGGATTTTTATAATTCTGAAAATATTTGGATTGGTATCCCAAAAATAATTCTCCATTGTATATGACTCTACAAAAACGAGCTTATAACTGAGATAAGGAAAAATATTTAACCATATCACAATAATACAAGCGTTGTCACAAAGGAGGATTTATGATGTCAATCTTGCATTATATAGCGTTAATTTTTTTCCTAATTAAAAATGTGCAAACCTATAGTATATGACAAAATTATATGAATGCATTTCGAAATATATTTTACCTAGGTCACTTAATGCAAAATGTCCCTAATCACCGATAGAGTATTTAAGCCAATTATTTGCATCGTAGCACATAAAAAAAGTGCTCACTACCTCGGCTACGTTAAGCAATCTGTATTTTATTGCAATCGTCACAAAAAAGGTATATAAGAAATGTAATATGAAACTCTCCTAGTACTTTGTTTTTATGAGTATAAGAATTCTGTACACAGATTAATAAACAATTAAAAATTTAGAATATAAACGTGTCGTTGAAGTTTTTTCTTAAAATATAGTTTCCATCGATTCACCACTTTTAATTAAAATGAAAGCTAACTCACAGTACGTAGTAGAGAAATGCGTAGTAATATATTTTTAACATAAAACAAAAATAAAAACACGATTTTCATACCAGGCATTTGTTTTCAAACATATCAATAAACAATAATCTGTTCTAGCAGATGTAATTTATCCATCACGAGGCAATGGATCTATGAGATATTCTAATTTCTTTTAGATTTTAAATAATTATATATAATCGTAGGAATAAATAATAGATTCAGATATCAAACAGTTTACAAATATACGTATCAAGATATCTTATTGCTGCATTTATTATTCTTGAAAATTTTATTTATATTCCAATAATTGTCGCAGGAAAGAATTATATATTTCTAACATATTTTTGATATATTCTTTTTTCATAAATCCATTACCTAAATACCAAAATAAAAAATAATTAATTATTTACCGATACGATGCGCAGCAGCGGAGTTACAGTACACAACGTTGATCTATAACAAATAACATAAACGTATTTAAATTAAAACAATGTTTAAATCAATATGTCGAAGAGTAATTATTGCGCACAGGAACTTTTTTATTCATAATTTCGACAAATACATAATGGAAGATGGAAGAATTACCCAATTTAAAAAAAAATACTTTCGTTGATATAAAACTTGCATAAAATGTGATAAGAAAAAATTTATTTCTGCAGATATAATTTAAACAGTTATCAATCTGAAATATTATATACATATATATATATATATATATATATATATTTAACTGTTATATATAAATACTTTAATAAATATTTTGGAAATCTCAAAATATCTAAAATATTTTATACGTTGGACATGTATATTATGTGGCGTACACTAGCTATATTATATTATAATAATCCAAAAAAGTGCATTTTACTGCGCCAACATCTACTTCTATATATCAATAACAAACAATAAAATAAATTACGAAATATGCTCACCTCGCGGTTGCTCCGCCGTTGCCCGACGCCTCCCTGGCCTGCTCCTCCTCTCTTGTCTCCTCGTCGGCCTCGTCGCCGTTACTTCGTGGCACTCACACAATACCTGTTCGCGAAAATAGATTAATTAAACGCGCATCGATCACCGGCATACAATAACGCTCGCGCGACACTTATTTGTACGATACTCTCGATCGCACGCAACGCGTACTTAATCGTATTGCGATAGCAGAGAAATAGAAGAGCACGATATCACGACACACATTCGCGACGTTATGAAGCACGTAACGAAACGCGAAAGGAATTCGTAAATCGCGCGGTTAACTTCACGCGCCAAAAGTGCCGCGCCAAAAAGTTTCGCGCCAAAAGTGTCGCCGCGCGCCTTTGCTCCCAGCTCCCCCCCTCCTGCTACTTGCCTATCCCCACATCCACGTACGAGTTTCTCGCAAGTTCGGCTCGGCAAGCTTAATTCGCGAGCCGGATTCGAACGTTTTTTCACCACGCACGAAAGGAAAATATGCGAATTTGGCTCGATCGTCTGATGCCGAGCTCGGCATCGTGACATATATATATATCCCACCCACGAACGAAAAACCGAGCCGAACCTGATTTACGAGCCAAACTCGTACGTGGATATACCCAGATATACCATCTTCAACAGCAAGTGCTATACGTTAATTTATGGCAATTGTTATTTCATATTGTAAGATAAAACAATAAATATCCGCGGCAGCCGAATATTCGCGATATCTTGCATTGTTACGAAGATACGTGTCTATCGTTACTTTGTCGACTACTCCTATAGATTCTTCGACCGAATAAATCTTGCGTTCTAACGCGAGTATCAATGCACGAATATCGAATTCATATTTCGCTATTTAGATATCATAGCACAGGATTGAAAGGAAAGTTAATAAAGATTATTACTTCTTAATCAATCGCTTAGCGACGCCACTCGAAGCCGATCCGTCCACCATGATCGATCGATGACGAATGACGACGAATAACTCGTAGAGAATAACGGCCGGCAACGGCGGCAACTTCACTCCGTCGCGCCCGTCGCGGTATTCAGTACGACGCGAGTCAAGTGAGCGAGTAATCAAAACGCACGATCATTTAAAAACGCAACTGAAATTATGAGTGAAGTACACGTGTTAATAAACATCGAGCGCACATCCTCGGAGTATATTATTTATACAAAAACAGACATTATTAATAAATAATATATCGTATATAGTTGACTAAAAACTAACGTAGTACGCAAGGTTCGGCGGCTCGGCGGCTCGGCGCAGTGATCCTCATCCATACGCCATACTGCGACCGACGTTCATCCAAGTTACGTCGAGGCGGACAAGATATATCCGAGACGGTTTTATTTTATATCTACACAGCG